AACCACGACAACAGCGACGATATAATTTGCACGTCACAATCGGCATGAATATTTAACCCCACTTATTGTGGCATTTAAAAAAAAAAAAATTAAATTGCTCAAAATAGGAATTCTTTTTTTCCGATGTTGAAATGTTATGTGCGTCAAGCGTTTTTCGCTTTTTATGGCTACATAGAAATTTGGTCGATCGGCGATTGGCGAGTTGGCCGTTTGCTAGTTCCGGTTACGTGTGCAAGCGTGCCCTTTTGCACGCACGAAAAAAAATGGTGGAAAATGGTGAAAATGGTGAAGAATGCTGAAAGTGGTGAAAAATGATGAGAATTGGAAAAAAACGACAAAAAAGAAAAAAAACTGTGGAGGGGAACTAAGACGCGCGCCCACGGGAGGTCGGTCCTCTACGGCTCGAAGGCATGTTCCTACGCAAGAGGAAAGCAATTTCATACTTCTTTTTTTTTGGCAAATGTTCTCAGCCAAATGAAGGAATCACAACTGAAGGGGAAAAGCTGTACGAAAAATGTGTTCGCTATGCACAAAATCTGGGTGCATTTTCTTGGATCACTAATTTTCCCCTTGGTCAGACGCAGCTTCGCTAACCCTTTGTAATTTCTCTTGTAAGCGCAAAGGTCACACATGTTCAATTAAGTGAAAATTTTCATGTGTTTCTATATTTATTGGCAAAAAATTAGCTCAAAATTTCTTGTTGTACTCTCAGTTTCTGGCCCCAGGCCTTTTCTTCCTCATCCAGTACTTCAGGAAAAGCTTATTGTCATAAATTTGATCGACATTATTTTTAACATTATAATTGCTCCTTGATATGTTTTTTAAGTACAAATGTTGGCTATACCGCAGGGCCTTTTCCTTCTCTGCTTTATTTTTCACGGTGTTAACAAAATTGAAGAAGCTCTTGTACTTGTTGAGGATGTTTCTTTCCATCATTTCGTTGGCATGAAGTAGAAATGGTCATCTGATCGCATACGGGAGGGTGATAGTATGGGAAAAAGGGAAAAAACAAATAAAACAAACAAGGAAATAGGCAACCTTTGCTTTCACCCTGGAGTGGGGAGGAGCTAAGACGAATATGCGCACTGTCGCGGGTGAATCCTTCCGTTTGCCTTTTGATGACGCGCGTTCGTCGCTAACGCATTTTCGTACACTTGGAAAGTGCAAAAAAAGAAAGAAAAAAAGAAATGAATTAACACTCACCTGATTTTGCAAACGAGGAACTCATCGGAACTCAGTTACGCATGCTATTTTAGCACATTTTTGCCTACCCGTCGTTGCATCCGCCTACTCAAATTCGAAGGAGTCATGTGCAAATGAAAGCTAATTGTGTTTATGTCATCATCACAATGTTAAGAAGTTGGCAAGGAAATATAAGTTGGTGATGCTAATGCTGATGAAATTAGGAAAAAAAAAAAAAAAAAATTCACGATGTTATTTAAAAAAAGGTGTAAAAGTTTACAATTTAAACGCCAAAAGGGGGATATATATGACAATTGTGTAAATATACCCAGGTCAAAAAAAGGGAGAAAAAAAAAAATGTACAAAACTCATTTATAAATTTTATCCATATAAATTAAAATTGAAGAAAAAATGTGTTTAATTAATGAGGACGTGTGAAAGCAGTAAGGCGATAAAAACACATTTTAAGTTCTGTCCCTCTTAGTAACTTCTTATGAAAAAAAAAAAAGCTAAACAGAAGAATAATATAATTGTAAATTGTTCTTCTGAATGACCATCCTCATAAGGCTATTTCGTTTAGGATAACAATGTGTAAGTTAAAAAAAATTATCCCATTGTGTCATTCCCAGTTGTGTACGCTTCTGCTTTATGTGTCCAATCCAACTATATGGAGGTACATTTTTTCCCCTTTTTTTTTGGTGAAGCAATTCTTGTAAGTTGTCATTTTGCCTTCACATATGATTCCACCTTTTTATCACTTCTTTATTTTCTTCTTACCAGTCAGGGAGCTACTTGAAGATATCTTTTGGAGAATATTTGCCGCCTCCTTCTTCGTGATCGTTTCCTTCTTTTCCAATTTTTCTGAGTCCTTCACTGCTTCCTTTTTCATGTTGTCCTTATTTGCTAATTTTTCTTGATTTGATTTTTCCTTCCTTTTTATTTTCTCTTCCTTTTTTAAATTTTCTTTGTCCACCCGTTTTTGTCTCTTCACTTGTTCCATTTTTTGTGTAATTAGGTTTAGCTTTCTTTTGCGGATGTCATAAATTTTGGTCAGCAGTTGCTCGTTCTTAAATAATTTAATTCCCTCTTCCGAGGCCATCCATTTCTGCGGCAAAAAAAAAAGTGCAAACAAATAAAATAAACAACGTGGTGATGAACACACTGTGTGTGAATCACAAACCAAATAGGGGTGAGTGAAGTCTTTGTGTCGTTGAGATTGTCCGTGGTAGACACCCTGATGAGGGTGTTTCCCTGGGGAAGTTGCCTCCTCCGTCTACACGTGCCAAAAGTTAATTAGTACCTTTCTGTTATCCTCGCACTTTTTGTACACCAAATAAGTCTTGAATTTCCGCTCCGTATCGGCCTTCGTCAGATGCTCATTTCTAGGAGGAAAAATAAAAATAACGTCGAATTTGTGAAGCGGTCGCATAACATTGCATTGGGGAATTGAAAAAGTTAAAGCTAATCTCACTTCAGCTTGAATTGATCCACTAGAACATCCTTTTTGGTTGCCTTCCCATGAGAATGCTTCAAAAAAAAAAAAAAACGAAAAATGTGTGCACAGAAATAATTGCAACATGAAAAAAAAAGTACACACTACAACGCATAGCTGTGAGTACCTGCGCGATATAACTTTGTGACGCTCACTCACCTTTATTAATTTCTTAATGTCATAATTGTCCAAAGTGTTCTTCGGATTGTTCCTTTCGGAGAGGTATATGAAGGGGTTATTCTCCTCTGCCAAATGGGGGAAGAGAAATATGCACACGTGTTGGAAAGCAGCTTAGGTATGATTTAGTACAAATTAATAACACGAATGGCAAACGCGTGATGGAAAAATATAAGGGAGAAAAATCGGTGGTAATTACTTCCCCAAGACATGTACTGGCATCCGTAAATGTTCTCCTTATATATCAGGTTGAACTCCTTCCACGTGTTTTTGTTAATTACTGCGCAAGGTGAAAAGGGAGAAA